GTGTGTGTGTGTGTGTGTGTGTGTGTGTGTGTGTGTGTGTGTGTTTGTGTACTCCTGGGCAAAAAAAAAATGAGCCAAAGCTTAGTGTTCTATTTTTGCCCAGGAGTGTGTGAATGTTTGTTTATGGGTCAAGGACGTATAAGGTTTTCAAAGTATTGAAAAAACAAAACCGCAATTATAATTCCCTATAAGCCTTTTTATGTTCATTGGAGTGTCACCTATGCCTTCATAATACTTATAATCAAGAATAAAGCCAGTAATTCATATTTATTGTGATTCATATTAATGTACCTCAGTAAAATATCATTCACCGTAAGACTAAGTGTATTTTTTCAAAAAAGTTATTGTATGCCCATTTTTTTTCATAAAAACATTGTTATATATCCCTGCTCAGGCTGGCGGAAATATAACTATTCATAAAAATGACATATTATTTTAAATTCAACATATTTGATGTGTCACAGGTACATCTCAAAATCTGTAGAAGATTTTTAACAAAATTTTTTCAGTTATGAACCGATTCCGAACTGCCGATACCAATATAGATACTTTAATATTTTAATATGATCAATGTCTATATAATATATTCATATTTATACATTGTATATTAGCAATGTGTTTAAAACAAGAGAATACAAATGAAAAAAAGTATGCCAAAAATGTTTAAGTAGGCTACTAGAAACATGCATAACATCTCGTTTGTAGGATATACATCTTGTTTTGAACATTTTGAAGAATTTAATTGCAGTTCAGTTCGAGTATCTTTCAAAGCGTATAGGCAAGTGACAAATGCTTAAAATTCCCCACATTTTTTCTCCCTTTGGCAACAGCGTTACTTACACGTTATCACTTTACACATTGTGACAGCAGCGCATCATGTATCATAAGCTGTAGTGCGTTCGCTACAAATCATCAAATCATCTACCGCTTTTTTCATATTACTCACATTGTCTCGACACAATCGCAATGAAAATATCTTTCAGTTCATCCCTTGAGATTTGTTTTTGCATCTCTGAGTTAATGACACACAATGTTTTTGTATTTTAATGTGAAATACTGATGTTATACTGAATGATAATATTTTGTTGACACATATCACTTCAACCTATAAAATATCAATTACCAATTAAATTACATTCCTTATAGACATTTTTAGTTATAAAACTGGGTTAATAAAAAAGATATTTGAAATGTGAAAGCTAGCTGAATTAAGATAACTTCCATTTGAGAGAGGTAGACAGAGAGATAGACAGACAGAGAGCGAGAGAGAGAGAGAGAGAGAAATGAGTCAAATGCAACAGACATTAAAAACATGGATTTTACGATGCATCATAGTTG